ATAAACTGAACACTTAATAAACTCTGTGAAAACTGAACATAAAGCTTCAGAACATTTGTAAAATTTATTATTAAGTTTGGATTAGCAACATAATAACTCTGTAAACTGAACTTTTAAATATTTTTACATATAAGAACCTGCTGTTCGGTTTAAAGAGAGTTGACTGTATATACTTTTTATTATTCGCCATTTCGTGTAGAGTATTATTGTATTATATATATGTTGGAAAGTCACCGTTTAACAGCTAATACTTGAATTCTTTACCTAATTAAAAATCATGTGATGTGGCCTAAACTATATATCAATTTATTATATATATAGGATAAGTTTATTTGTAACGTCATGTTACATAACAACCTATACTTAAATTCTTTATAACACAAAATTTTACTAAGATAATCTCTTGTGCTATGTACTACGTAATGAAAAATGACCATCTCGCAATTTTGCATTAATCTTAACTATTATACATGCTGACGAAATTATTTCGGGTTCTAAAACCCGAAATTAAAATTGAAGACGAAATTGTTTTTGACCTATATATTTTACTTAAAAGACGAAATTTTTTTGACACTTTTTTTGAATAGACAAAATTACAAAGAGCATAAATATATAAATATTATTTACTTTTTTTTATAAAAATTTTAATTTGCTCTAATGAAGACGAAATAGGCCTTTTTTAAAAATCAATTTTGGTGGCAGGCATTTATATATAATCTTGACATGAAATTCTAAACCTAATCTAACACTAACTCTAACACTAACCCTAAACCTAGCACTAACCCTAACCCTAATATTAACAGGTTGTTACAAATAGATTATTTCATTTACAGTCAACTCTTTCTATACTGAACCCTTGGTTCTGGCCAAAAAAAAAGTTCGTTATACAGTATTACTATGTTTTCTTAAGAGCCGTAGCTCTTGTTATACCGAATTAATATTAAAATTTAAAAATTTTAAGTTCGTTATATCCAGAGTTCGTTATAAAAAGGTTCGTTATATACAGAGTTGACTGTATATATTTATTTATATACGTATCAGATATATATTTATATATTCTTTGGTCCGGCAACTATCATCCGGGGGTGCTATATTACGTATTACGTATAATATATACGTACGTACAGGGCATGATGATTATGGAATTTTGGAATATTTCTTAAATTTTCTTATGTGACGTAATGGTCAAGATCTTATTCGGCCGCAGCATGTTGGAACGTAACACTAAAACCTCCCTATGCTTTTTTTTAATGATATTATTCTTACTGATTCTTGTGTTCCAGCACTTCAAGGGAGGTCAAGCCTTTTATATGAAAATTCAGTAGAGAAATAACAAAGCTAATTCGATAGTTCTTCGTGAATTTACTTAAGAGAGCAGTGCAAATATAACTGCGCTTGTTCATAATAAAAATTGCTCGGGCTGAAAAATTATGAACACAACGCAAATACCACCACGAAACATTGTTCCACCTCCTCGTCCGTCCCACAACGGCTTACCAAACTCGTCGCCTGCAGAAAGAAGCCCACCAACCACTTCACAGTCCTCCTCCCCCAAAACGTCTGAAAAATACAACACAGATAACCAAACCGTTGTTGGCCACTCACTCGTACCTCAACGTTCAGCTCCGCCGCCACCAAATTCTGTGCAAAAATCTGTACAAATGAGTAGCAGCGCTTCTGGTTTGAGTCACAATGGTAATTTAAAGTCAAACTCGTCGTTAAATTCACGTCGTGGGCCTCCTACCTCGAAAAAATCTGCGAGTTTAGGGCCACCTCCAAAACCTAACCGAACAACAGCCAGTACGCCAACGAGTCAATCGCCTCTAGCTCGAAGTCCGTCCGCTGGTAGTGCTCCGACAAAATCTCCAGGGATATCGACCGATTCTGCTAACGTTTCCCCTACTTCAACCAAGTATTCGCAAAGTGGAAGCTATGGCTCCGTTAAAGGCCCACCTATCAAAGTACACGGCGAAGATATTCAACCTATAACCAATGAGAAAGACGGGAATAACAGATCACTCAAAGGAGTACTGAATACTTTCGTTAGTTCGATGTCCGGTAAGCAAATTGATTATTTTATTAATTAATTGAAGAATCAGGATAATTCAATTCTCATGTCTAAACGACTAAATATAAAAAACTACCTACTTTTATTATTAGATTTGTTATCAACTCAAAAAAGAGTAGAAATTTCATCGCCTTATGATCCAGTTCATTTAACTCACGTTGGATTCAATCAAGAAACTGGAGAATTTACGGTGAACTTACAACTAATTTTTAATATATATTTGTATTATCCGATTTTCTTTAAAATACTTAATATATGCTACACTCTAGGGCTTGCCAAAAGAATGGCAACAGTTGTTACAAGAATCCGGTATCTCAAAAGAAGATCAACAGGCCCATCCTCAAGTATATATATATCTCCATATAAATTTTTTTTCATTTTTTGATAAATCACATTTTTATGTTAAATAATTAAACATTAATACATAGGCTGTGTTGGAAATTGTAAAATTTTATCAAGATAATACAGCTGGAGGAAAAAATTCGATTTGGGAGAAATTTAATAATGTCCAACTCCCAAATCAATCTCCACCATCTAGCTTACCAACTTCACCACATAATATGGTGGGAAAACCATTTGAGAATCCTGTGAGTGTAGAAAACTTCGTAATTTTGATATCAGTTCGCTAATTAACTATACGGTGAACAATCATTTGGGCAGGGTCAAATAAGGATGAATTTCATTTATATTTCGTTTTCGAATTAGAGATCTGCACCAATCCCTCCTTCGGAAAAGAAAAAACCAAGTCCACCAGTTGTTCCTACAAGATCAACTAATGCACAAAGTGCTACGGTATGTTGATTTATGATTTTTATTTTTAATAATTTCGATGATTATAAATAAATATTAACCGATTTTATATTTAATTTGTGACAACTTTATAGGATAAAAGTAACAATCAGCAAAAACCACCAAGCAAAGCTCCTTCACCTAAGCCTCCACGTAGTAAGTATTGCAATGATATAATAATCTTGTTATCAACTTTATTTAATTATACTTACATGCGTTAATATCTTTAGACCAAGAACCTCCAAAGCTCCCTCCAATACAGCCATTGCCTCCGCTTGAAAGTCGAACTATGCCAATAACGCCTCCAAAACCGGCTCCAAAACCGCCTCGTCCCAAGGAGCCCAATAACCAATTACCATCACCACCACAAACGGCTCCACCTACTTCTAAACCTTCACAGCAACCAACAGGTGGTCCTTCTGGCGCCATTGTAAAACCACCTCCACCTAACACTCAACGTCGACAACAACGTAAACCGGCAAAAGATTCTACAGATATCATTGAGAGGTTAAAGGCTATTTGTACTGACGCTGACCCAACTAAATTATATCGAAACTTGGTTAAAATCGGTCAAGGGTAAGAGTATACTATTTTTATTTTTGGAAATTATATAAATATAGATTAGTGGTTTGGTATACTTTGACTAATTATGTTGTTTTAAATCAAGTGCTTCTGGTGGTGTTTTTACTGCTTACCAAGTGGGAACAAACATGTCAGTTGCTATTAAACAAATGAACCTCGAACAACAACCCAAGAAGGACCTCATCATAAATGAAATATTGGTCATGAAAGAATCAAGGCATCGTAATATCGTAAATTACATTGATAGTTTCCTTTGGAAAGGTGATCTATGGGTAGTTATGGAATTCATGGAAGGTGGTAGCTTGACGGATGTTGTGACCAATAATATAATGACAGAAGGTCAAATTGCGGCTGTATGTAGAGAGGTAAGACCAATGTTTGTATATTAAATAAAGTTCTATTCAAATCATTCTGATTTTAATATTTCATATGATTTGAGCAGACTTTGGAAGGTCTAGCACATTTACATTCTAAAGGTGTAATTCATAGAGATATTAAGAGCGATAATGTTTTATTAGCACTAAACGGCGATATTAAACTTAGTATGTATATTTTTTAAATATTTATTTATTCATATAGAATAATTTTACAATTTATTTATATTTTTATTTTAACTTTAGCTGATTTCGGTTTCTGTGCACAAATTAACGAACACCACAATAAACGCACAACCATGGTTGGTACACCATATTGGATGGCACCTGAAGTAGTGACGCGTAAAGAGTATGGCCCAAAGGTTGATATATGGTCATTAGGAATTATGGCCATTGAAATGGTTGAGGGTGAACCGCCATATCTGAATGAAAATCCTTTGAGGGTTTGTACAACTTTTGTCCTTCAACGATAAGTATACTTGTTTTATTTGTAATTTATTTAGTCTATTTTAACAATCTGATATCGTTCAGGCCCTATATCTTATTGCAACAAATGGCACACCTCAATTACAAAATCCTGAAAGTTTGTCGCAAGTTTTTCGAGAATTTTTGAATTTATCATTGGAGGTTGATTCGGAGAGGAGACCAACTGCAGTTGAGCTCCTTAAGGTAAAATATTTTTATATTGAATTTATTGATGAATTTTTTTTTTTTTTTATCTACATGTTCAAAAAATTAATTACATGCTTATTGTAAATATAGCACAAATTTTTACAAAAAGCAGAACCTCTTAAATCACTCGCCCCGCTGATTAAGTCTGCAAGGGAGAATGCAAAGAAGGGCTAATTAATACAAATAAACAAGTATTATTGGTTTATTGGTGAATCTAGATAATAACAAACGATCCAAAAAAGTAGAATAGCATGTCTTCTGATTAATATTTGCTTATTTTACCACACGTTTTTACTATTACATGATTCTTTTTTTGATGGAATTATTTTTATTTATGAACATTTTTGTATGTTTTGTTTATTTTATTTTATTTAGACTTTTTGGGTAAATTTGACTTTGTTTAGTCCGATGTAGTATTTTTTTTATTTTAAAAGATGATCCATTAGCACACATAAATCAATGTATATCCTATTTCTTTCTAAATCGTTCTTCCTTTCGTCTCATTCTTTGCATCCCCTTTAGTCATCGATTATATATATATATTTCCTTTGCTCATATTTTAACCCATATAGAGTTATGTTCGCGCATGTATTTCAACTTCTATCGCTTTGTAGATTTATTATATATTTTTATTTAGTAACATTTATCAAGCTGCGCATGCAAAAAAACACATGGGTGATTCAAAGAATTTGTTTGGGCATTTGTTTTAAAGTGTATCGATATGAAATGCCAAGAATGAGATATGTATCACCTACATATGATTTTGGTAATCATTTAATTTCGATATTTGGATAATCCTTGTAGGTGTTGCCTATTGTGCAATTTGGAGCTAACAATTTTGTGCAAAGTTTTTAAATGGTAATCCGAATTTAAAGTATTTTCATGATATATAATTGTTTAGATGTGCTATCTTTCGAACCTATTGTTTTATCTTAGTTTGTGTTGTTAGATGTAAATTATTATAAATATATATATATATTATTAAACCATTTTTATAATACCTCATCGTTTTTTTAGTCATATGATTATCACAGTCGAATAAGCTTAACTACTTCTGTTAGCGTTAGGGTTTTGACCAAAGCTTTTGTTATCGGCTTAAAAAAATACAGTACTGGATCACTACTATATGTAAAACTATGGTTTTGTATTTTAATTATTGTTTCAACGTAGAAATTCTTAAATAAACGAATAAACTAAATATATACTGTAAAATTAAAATTCGACCATCTTAATTTTAGCCAAAATTATTAAAATTAGCAAAACATTTATTATAAAAACGCACCTGTTTTTTAGATTTTTTTTGAATTTTCAGCCATTTTGAAAACAGCAATAATACAAATATCACTAACTAAATCAATAAAAATAAGAAAATAAGAAATCAAATTAGAAGGGGATATAATAATAATAATAATAATAATAATAAAGAAGTAGTTAGTATATAAAATAATATTAAATTAGTAAAAACATTAAAAATAAAAATTATCATAACAATACTTTAGATTAAATATTAGGTACTTGCTTTTATATATAACATAACAAAACTTTGGCCAAAAGGATTGTTACAAGTTTCATGCGTTTCATCTAGTAAAAAGAAAAGAATAAATCATTAGACAATATTGAATTAGGAAAAGAGAATAAAAATTAGCAAAAACAAGAAACATATTATCACGAATCCTTATTTCAATATGACAATAACAAAACTCTATCAAATAAGAATTATTATTATGAATGTTATATATTTATCAAGTTGAAAAAAAGAAGCATTTGTGTTAGATGATATTGAATTAGAAATAGGGAATAAAAACAAAATAAAAAAAAATACATAGCATTAGTCTTAAATATCATATTTTAATATAATATAACAAAATCTCATCAATATGAATTATCATAATAAATATTATGCATTTATTTAGTTAAAAGGAAAGAAGAAGTATTAATGTTAGACAAAGCTAAATTAGGAATAAATTATTAGAAATAAACCAAAAACTTATCATAATTATTAATTCAAGTTTAAAAAAAAGTATTAAATTAAAAATTAAAAGTATTATATATATACATCAGTGAAATATAATAACGTAAACTTACGTAAGTTATTACGCCCCAAAATATTGCGCAATAATTACGGTCTAGGCAAAATATTGTGCAAGAAATTGCGCAATATTGCGCAAAATATAACGTAATATTACGAAATATATTATGCAAAATTACGAAACTTATAG